TACAGTAAGTTCTCTGCAATTGCTTTTACATCTAACTTTGCACATTAGCTCCTGTATTCACCAAGATTGCAACAACATCTTTATTTGTTCATGGGAATTTGGGCTTTGCTGGCAAAGCCAATACTTAATTACCCTTGAGAAACCGATGGAAAGCCACACTCTTGTATCCCTAAAATCCATATGCACATTGCTGCAGGGAGAGGAATTCTCAGATTTTGATTCAGTAGCAGTTGAGGAACAAGGAGAATATCTTTCCAATTCTGGACTTGGGGAGGAACTAGTAGATGGTAGTATCCTGATGCTGTCCTTGTTGTTGTAGGTGGTAGACACCATGGATTTGGAAAGTGCTGATGAAGAAGCTTTGGTCAGTACCACAGAGTGTCATGTGGATGCAACACACTGCTACTACTGTGCAAAGGTGGTAATGTTGGGTTGATCACCAGAGGTATTTTTTTTACCTGAATGGAGTCGATTTCCTTGAGTATTTTTGGAGCTGCCCCCATCCAGGGAAGTGCAAAGTATTCCATCACACTCCTGACTTGTGCCATGTCGATGGCAGGGGTGTCAGGAGCTGAGTTAATTGCTTCAGAATTCCAAGCATGTGTATGCTTGAAGGATGGTAGCAAAAGGTTGATGAGCTGCAGACATGAATAGCCACATGGGATCCTGATGCTGAGTCAGTACAAGATATAACTTAACTTAAAGGGCAGCGCTGAGTTCCAAATATTCTTGAATAAAGTGATCAGATGTAATAGTGAAGCAAAGCAAATGAAGAGATGTGATAAGGTTGATTAGGGAGTATTGAAAAGAAAGGGTCAAGGACAGAATCTATTTAGTTAGAGTTAAGAAACAATCAAGGTACCATTACACCACTGGATATATTTCATCAGCCACTACCTATTAGGAAAGATGTACAGGAGCAAATTTGCAGGAAAACTACAGATAGGTACAAAAATTCAAGAAGTGATAATGGAGGCATTTAATTATCCCAGTACATATTGGGATAGTTATGCTGTAAAAGACCAAGGGTTGAATCTTACACTTTTAATGAAGAGTAAGTTGTGTGGGGTAATTTAAGGGTCTTTGCTGTGAGGCCTAGCAAGTTTTCTTACTTGCCGAGCTCACCTCATTAAATAGCTAGCCTGCCCCAGTGGTGTCACCCTGGTCTGATTCCAGCCCCTTCTTACCAACTTGCCACAGCCAAACATCCTAGAATTGAATGGCATCCATGGCGTTAATGTCATTTTTTGAAAGTTCACTGAGCACCTGGACATTACCTTTCAAATGTGAGCTGCCTGGCACAGTTCCTGACATTTGCCCTGAATGTGGCAGACAAGAGAAATGTGGCATTCTGTTTTGTGGATAGGGCTCTGGAGGACCTGCTGAATGGGTTTGTGCTCCAGTCACAACATCAGAGTCTGGCAGCCAGGTCTGAGGTTGTCACACAGTTCAGTGTTACCTCATCTGTCTGGAGGAGCGCACAGAAATGCAGAAAGAAGGTCAATGTCCACTCTCAGCTCTGCAAGCATAAATGCCACCATCCTCTCTCCAATATGTCACTCTCATTCTTTCTCTCCTACTGTGCCCACCTTCCACTAGTGCTTAAGCTCTACTACTCTCACTAACACCTGCAACAACTTCCCTCATTCAGTCACCTCCATCCCCAACATGCCAACAGTACTAACCCGACATGCTTTCTGCACTGCCTACTTACTCACTCTTCACCTGTATCAATGGTAACAGTATCCCACCCACTTTCGTCTCCCATCATCCCTGTCTCTTTCTCTCACTCTGCAGAAAAACTGCCTTCCAGTTGGGCAAAAAGACTCTAGATGTTTGTTGGGTTGCCTGATGTTTAGCACTAAGTGACTGAATGCCTCTAAGTCCCAGCACTGGTACTTACTGTGCTGCTACCCTCACACCAAAGGCTATCTTTCTTGGCTTGACTAAGGACTACTGACAACTGTGACAAGCTTCCTGACTTTGTGTCTGTGCTAAATGGCAAGGAAATGCAGCAGTCCTGTGAGCTTCATATCTCTGTCTGAGGGGTAAAAGGTGTAAGGCAATGCAACACAGACATAGCCTCAGCATCCTGGTGGGCTTGGAGTGACTGAGCGCTGTGACCACAAGGGAGAAGGCAGAAGGTAGACAGATTAAATCAAGGATGTGGTTCTAAAGTGGTCGCAGGGTCTGAGGAACCTGGGAGCATTATGACCACAAACCACTGGAGTTGTGTTGTGATGACATAAAATATGGGTTAATAATCTTTGAATTCCATCTGCTAATTTAATCGCTGTGACTTTCATGGTCAGAAATTAATTGGAAGTGGGACCAAACTATGTCCTTAAAAGAGCCTAACCCATGCAGGCCAAAATTCATAAAAGAAACATGGATTAAATCAAAGATGATCTAAGCTGAAATGAACGTTTTCCCCAAGGGAAATGAAACAATTCAGTCAGACCCCAAAGGAAGTTTCGAACCATCTCCTCTCCAGTTTGATTTACACTATGATCAGAATCCTCACATGTTGGAGATTAAATATTGGCAATGATTACCAACCTGATTTTCTTGTTTTTGAGTTGAGCAAGTTGAGGGACTGAAATTGAAACTCTTAGGTTTCTGAGGTTTGGGATTATCAAGGTTGGCTTACAATTATTTTAGCTGACCTGCCTGTGCTATTGTTTTCCATTTGTGTTTGGTGAAATGGAGAGTAGAACATGTTAAATATGTTTTACTCCCTCTCCTTTAGGCAGTCAAACTGTGCAACCGTATAAATATTCCAAAGTATACCTCAAAGCTGTGCTAAAAAAAAAAATATTCCAGGCTTTGGAAAGTGGGCTTTTTTGTAATCCTTTTCACCTTTTGATTCTTCTGGTTTGTTAGAAGATGATTCAAAATTGGTGTCAATCACTAATGATTCTGGGCAGCTCAATGTTAGAAATTCAATTCACCGAGGATTGAAATTGGGACTGCCATAAGTCATTCCACTTCTGATGTCTGCCAGCCAGCAAAGAAGAACAATCTTTATTTATTTTGGCTGATATCAGTTAGAGAGATGAAATGATTATGATCTGATTTATTTGTCCTGGCTTTTTATCATTATATTGGCTTGGTCTTATGCTTTGCCTTACACAATGAGCATAAAATGGGGAACAATTAAACAGTAGTCTAGAATGAAAGGCAATAATGGATGAAGCATTTCAGTTTTTCTCGTGAATCTCCCATGGAACTTCTCAAGGAATGTGTTGTGTCATTAATAGGGAATGTTTTCTACCAAGTATGATCGGGCAACTTTTCCAGCAAGCATTAACAGGAGAGGTGTATGCTATGAAAGATTTTAATTAACAGCGTCCTTTTGATTAACAGGACTGTCAAAAATGTGTCAGTGCTTCAGTTAGCAGCACTTTTGTTTCTGAATCAGAAGACTGAGCATTCATGTTCTACTCCAGATAGTTGATCACCTAAATCTAGAAAATTTCAGTACAAACTTGGAGGTGTTTCAGAGATAGTAGGGACTGTAGATGCTAGAGAATCTGACATTACAAGGTGTAGAGCTGGATGAACACAACAGGCCAAGCAGCATCAGAGGAGCAGGAAAGCTGAAGTTTCGGGCCAACACCCTTCTTCAGAAAAAAAAAAAAATTTCTGAGGAAGTGTCTAGGCCCGAAATGTCAGCATTCCTGCTCCTCTGATGCTGCTTGGCCTGCTGTGTTCATCCAGCTCTACACCTTGTTATCACAAACTTGGAGGTGCTGTCTTTCAGATGAAACATTAAAGCAAGCCCCTGTCTGCTCTTTCAAGCAAAAAAGATCTTGTGGTTTTGTTCCAAAGGAGAGGTAACCCTGTCTTTTTGACACTTTGACGAACATGTGTAAATTTGATGCATTTGTCATTGCTTTACTTGTGCTTATGACACATCATTCATTAGCTGTTGTATTTCATACACGTGAACAACTGTTACATTCACAGGTATTTAATTGACTCTAAATTGCTTGGGGATGAGCTGAAGACAAAAAAGGCAATGCAAGTCTTTGTTTTCTTTTTGAAATGTGTCCATCACCTTGGGGATCCTAAAGTCGTGTACAGTACCCCCATGATTAACAATAGCGATGCTGACCCTTCTGTGGAAATTTATTTTGTTCCTATTTATATCTGTCCTTATTTTCAACAATTTGGAGATGTCGGTGTTGGACTGGGGTGGACAAAGTCAGAAATCACACGACACCAGGTTATAGTCCAACAGGTTTATTTGAAATCACAAGCTTTCGGAGGAGCTCCACCCGACAAAGGAGCAGTGCTCCGAAAGTATGTGATTTCAAATAAACCTGGTGGACTATAACCTGGTGTCATGTGACCTCTGACCTTATTTTCAACTACAAGGATAATTCATAGTGTGGGAACTGATCAAATTGGTGATACAACCTATTATTGCATTCTTAGCCTTGCAATTATTATTAATATCGCAAACAAAATACTTTCTTAAAAAGAATCTCAAATTAATTGGAAGACAGCTAAAATGAAAACCCTTGCCTTTAGAGAAGAACTGCACAGAGAAAAGTTTTTCACACATTATTAATCATTTCAGTCTTGCCAACTGTTCTTTACATTCTCCAGGCACAACTCTTTCGGGATTTTCTTCCATCTTGAATGCAGCTTTACAGAGCAAGAAAAAAACTGCTCTGATTCCTTTAAAATGTTTCAAAGTTCTTTTGCACAATGCATATTCAATGAAAGTTAACAAAATGAAGCAAATTGGTTTTTATATGTGTTATCTGATGATGATGCAACTATAATAATAGAGAAAATGTTTGGTTGTACATAAAATTTTTATTTGACTTGATGTAGCCATCTGTAGTGAGATTTCTTTTGTGATGTGAAGATAATGCAATATTTTCCAGCCTTTGAATGCCAGATAGTTGTGAGAAGCATCTGTCCCCATAGATGCAAAGGCACATGCATTCCCCTTGAGCTTCATTGAATGTCATGACCTTTTCTTGCAGGTTGACTGGAATGAATCTACCTTCTCCTGTTATCAGCAGTAAAAACTGGCTGCGGCTTCACTTTACATCTGATAGTAATCACAAGCAGAAAGGATTTAGTGCTCACTATCAAGGTAAGAAATTTTCATGTGTGAGCAAATGTAGTGCTTTTCTTTTCAGTTAAACATAGTGTTTATGATCTGAGCACAAAATAATACTGGAAGCATTAAAGAATAAATACAAATAACCGTGCTAGGGTAAAAAGTTTGAAGTGTTTCAATTAGCGGTGTTTCACTCATGAAACTTTACTCAGACTTCTTCACTTAAGACAGCCAACTGATGCCTACTTTAATGCTGCTTATTTGTAGTACATAGAGTGGCAAATGAGGAATGTCCACACACAGTACAGTAGAATGTCAGTGTAAAGGCAGTGACATTTTAAAATTTTATCAAATGTGTCCCTACTCTTAAAGTTCACCACTTCTGCACTATTATGTGCTCCCAAAAATCAAAAGCATTTGCTATTATCTTTACTGAAAGCTGGGTGAAGGTGTAACATGATGCAATGGTTGATTATACTGGAAAAGATATTTGATTTTATTAAAAACCTAAAGAGGCCCAAGATGTCATTTGTAGCCTACTCCTCCTCGTATTGGTTACATTATTGTATAGTCTTGATCTTCTACATTCAATTTTTAAATTTTTATTGGATACTTAAAATTAATCCTCAATTTTTCTGCTAGATTTCTACAGAGGGTATTTACTTGTGCATCTTAAAACATAACTCATTTTTATGGGGTTTGAAATATATCTTTTTATCAGCCAGAATTTCTTTTTTACATCTTCCCTGCCGAAACATTCAATTCCTAATATTAGTCAACATGCCAATCAGATGAAAAAATGCCATGGAAATACAGGCCTTTGCAGTCCAATATTACATGCTTTCAGTAAACAGTACTCAAGGGTACTCTTTCCTGCCCAGAGTAGTGCAAACCTAACGAGTTAGGGAAATATGTGACAGTGTTCCCTGTACAGATAGCATATTTATCTTGTTTATGTTTTCTGATTCAAGGTATTGATGAAATAAGCCTTCCACAGTTTGAAATACTGAGGAACTGATGTCAATTCACTCAAATCCCATGAAGTCACTTGCACAGAGTGAAAATTAGGTCTAGAGTATGACATTATGCTTTTCAAACTTTGGCACAAGCTTGTTTGTTTCAACGGTCTTTAAGCCTTGTGTGTATTTCTCAAAAAGTACAGGAGGTATATCTTAAAATTAAGAAATGAGCCTAAAATGTCTGTAAAATCCTGTGCATTGGACTGCTCTTGAAATTTGACTTCCTCCTCTAACTGGTTGGAATGTCCACTGTGGTTTCATTTCTTAGGAAATACATTGTGCCCTGTCAAGATGCAAAAACAATTACTGATGTGGATGTACATGGAGTCTGCCTTACGAAGCAACAATTGTTTTATTAAAAAATCTCTGGTTAATAGGTCCTACAGAATGACTTAGCAGTATTTTTTCCAACATGGATATTCAATTGGTACCTTCTTTAGAAGAGGCCAGATGTGTGGATTTGCCAGTCGGGTAATAAATTTGTGAAAGTCTGATGAGAAACAACCAAAACCAACCATGGTGATCTTCAATTTGTTAATGTTAAGCTTGATGCTTTGTAATTAGATAAAATAACAGAAAACCTTTTCACTTTTAAAGAGAATGTATGCTGATCATAGAGGAACATTTTATACTCCATCAGCCAGTTTTTTGCCTGGGTGTGGGAAGTGCTTCAGCGTACAAAAGGATGGTATTAGCTTTTATTGGAGAAAATCCTGTTTTCCTCTGCATTCCTTATCCTGCTTCATTTCCAGCTTATATACGGATCATGAATGTGTATATACGCCTGACCAAGGAAGGGTTCTTCATTTTAAAAGGGGATTAACATTGGATTTTCACCTGTGCATCGATTTTTATCTGGTGGTTTGGGGTTTGGAAGTTCATTAGATATGTACTAGGTTGGAAAGTTCATGAACAAAATGGAAAGCCTGAGAGGAGTCTGTTGTCATGCCTTCAAATGTCACTATTAAATGCAACATCGTAACCTAGATGTGTTTTTAATACAGTAATTCATCATAGGGATCTGTCCTTTAAAGGTAAGGGCCTATATATTAACCAACCTCTGCACGCACACTCACTGTACACTGCAGTGTGGCTCACAAACAGCATTGTAAACCCTAACCGTCATGATAATGGTAACAGTCTATTGATCACTTGCACATTTGGGATTGATTAGCTCTGTGAGCAGAATCTTCTCGGGATCTGGGTGACATGGGCTGTGGTGAGATTTGTAGCAGAATTATATGAAAAGTCTGACGAAACCTATCTTGATGAGGAGTCTAGGCCCGAAACGTCAGCCTTCCTGCTCCTGTGATGCTGCTTGGCCTGCTGTGTTCATCCAGCTCTACACCTTGTTGTCGCTTGATGCCCAGAGCATCTCACTTCATTGTTTATGCTTTTGACAAGCAGTGAGTGGTGTTGAATTATTAATTAAGGGAAACCTTTACCTTGTTAAACATCTTATTAAGGCCACAATTCATGTCATTAATACTCAGCTTTCTATCTTACCAAATGCACCCAAACAAACTAGGCCTCAATAAAGCTTGACATGGAAGTCAGAGAGGGTACCTAGTGACTTCAGCTCATCACGGGACATGAGGAGCTTCCACCTTATTCAGCATCAAACAGCATCTCAGGGCATGATCTATGATCACTAGCCATACACACACCTTGTCCAGGGACATTGACATCAGGTATTTGCTGTCCCTTCATGACCATCATGGCACTTTGTCTGATCTACTTAGAGTGCTTAGGGAGACTTTCATTACAGGACACACCAACAGTGAGGGTTGAAAGGCTGCAGCAGGGATACTGTGCTCGTAGAGACAGGCAGTGTGGGTAGTTAATGAGACACATTTGCAATGATATGATGAAAAAGTCTTGTTCAGCCTCGTGATAAGAATCCCTCCAGAAAACGCAACGTGGTTTGCACTTACCCAAAATAAAACTAACATCCACCCCATCGGTTAATTTATTTACAAACAATAAAATTCTATATAAGTTATGAAGTAGATATTACAACAAACCAACTGATTTCTGTGGGCATAATTTGCAGACCCACAGTAGACTAACTGCACAGTAGGATTACATCATTGTATATACGCAACTCAAAGTATCCTTAAGGGCACGCTGGTGTTGAGAGACAAAAATGGCATGTGAAGGTGAATCAGGTATGCTGCAGAAAGTTATGTCAGATTTTCTCAAGTTCTGACTGATAACACTGGTGGTTTATATTCTACGGTTAGTTCTTAGAGTTACTGGGAGTAATGGATAGAACACCATTGGGGTAACATTACCCCATGCCATCCTGTAAATTAACCCTATGACCAGTTGGGGCAGAGTCAGACATTGGACGATGACAGATGGCTGGGAGAAGGTGATCCCAACAGCACATTAATGGAATATATTTGCTAATTTAAAATCCATCTTCCAGATAAAAACATCTATTGCTAAAGTCAGTGTGAAAATGTAAATAAACAAAGCCTTTAAACCCAGATTGGTCTAATGATTGTGATTTGCAGTGTAAAGTTAGAGTGAACTGGAAGATTCTGGGATGAAGTGATAAACGAAGCTGCTCTTTTTGTAAAAAAGGTCTGATTTAAGTTGCTCTTTATGCTTGACAGACATCTTTTTTTATTTTTCTAAATGAATTTGAGATTTTATTTGGTAAAATGAACTCAAGAGTAGGTCATTCAGCCCCTCTAGCTTGTTATGGCAAATTACATCACATTGTGGTATGGACATCAACTCCATGTATTTGTTGCTGTTCCATATCCATTGATCCTTTACCCAACATGAAGTATCAATATCATTCTTTATAATTTATTAATTGTATAAATTAACACAGCATCCACAACCTTTTGTTGAGAACAGTCCAAATTCTCATTACTTTTCATGTGAAAAAAACACTCTCTAACTTTAGAGATAGCAAGGTGTAGAGCTGGATGAACACAGCAGGCCAAGCACCATCAGAGGAGCAGGAAGGCTGACATTTTGGGCCTGGACCCTTCTTCAGAAAAAATTTTTTTCATTTTGAGATTTTGCCCTTTTGGTTTTGGATTTTGGTGTTTGGTTTTTCTGAATAAGACCATAAGATTTAGGAGGAGGAATAGGTCATAAAGGGTAACAAATGGTAGAATTTGACTTTAATAAAGATCTGGAATTTAGAGTCTAATGAAGATCATGAAACCATTGTTGATTTTTGGAAAAACCCACGTCCTTAAGGGAAGAAATTTTGTTGTCCTTATCTGATCTGGCATACATGTGACTCCAGACCCACAGCAAAGTAGTTGACTCTTCACTACCCTCTGGGCAATTGGGGATGGGCAATAAACGCTGGCCAGGTCAGGAAAGCCTATCTCCCATGAAAAGAAAAATCAACCCATTGAGTCTGCTGTCCTATTTAATGAGATCACAGGTGATCTGATAATCCTCAACTCCATTTTCCTGTCTTTCCCACAACTAAGTCTCTGCAGCCTTCTATGAGAAAGGCTTCCACACATTCTCCACCCTCTAAGGGAAGAAATTCCTCCCCATTTGTATCTTAAATAGGTGACCCCGTACTCTGAGATTATGCCCTCTGATTCTTGTCTCTGCCATAAAGGAAAACAAACTTTCAACTTTGAGGTCCCTGAAGAATCTTGAGTGTTCAGTAAGGTCTCCACTTATTCTTCGAAACTTTAATGAGTACAGGCTCAACCTACTGAACTTCTCTGATACAACAGTGCTTCCATACCTGGGATCAGCCTTGTGAACTGTCTCTGAACTGTATCCAATGCCAGTGATGCTTTCCTTAGATAAGGAGACCATAACTGTTCACTGTATTCCAGCTACGGTCTGACTAGTCCACTGTTTGGGTTGCGCATCTTATGTAGTTTCAGCATTTAAATATACCCCATTAAATTAATTTAGAATTTTTAAACATCCAAATAGTCACCGCTCAGCCCCTCACTTTCAGGCAATTTGTCCTCATAAGTCAGTCTTTCAAATTCTCAGATTCTGGTGAACCTGAGAAGT